TACATACAGAACTGGGGTACAGGCCAGAGGCTCAGGGGCGGTGAGAGGTTTCACCAGAGACAGAGTGGGGAGCAGAACAGGCAGATCTGAGGGGAGCAGCGGGCATATCAGGAGAGGTCTGCCACGCCATGTGCTCACCTCCGGGGCACATCGGTATCGAACTCATGCAGAAGTGGCTTTAGCTTCTCAATGCAGTGCTTTAACCCGCTGCGCCACCAGGGAGGGCCTTATTATATAAATTTTTAAGGAAAAATAAAGTTCAGTCTGATCAGAAAAAAAATGTCTCCTATGTCTGAGCTTGAAATTAACTATTCCTTCAAATAATGTCTGTTTGGATTTTTATGGTATGAGGCACTACTTGTGATTTGCTCATTGAGTATTCTCTTAGATTTTTATTATTTAATTTCATTTTAAACATTTTCTTATGACTAGATACAGAAAAACATTTTAAAGATAAGAACAAACTAATATCCATGTATTTGCTATGAATATTATTATTTATTTTGAGACCTATATGCTAAAGAATGAATATATTCATTCAGTAGTTAAGTACTAATTTTATACCGGACATTTCATTAGGCACTATACTTGTAAAGGTAAATAAGAGAGAATTTGTCTTCAGCTCACTCACTAGTTAGTTCCAGAGACAAAAAATAAGCAGTTATAGCACAATGTAATAGATGTTGTAATAGAGCCACGCACAAGTTACTACAGAAACTGAAAGAATATATCATGACGTTGGTTAATAACCACTAAGAGTTGATGATTTCTTAAAACATAATTTTTTTCAATTTGTAAGTTGTTAAATGGACCTAAGAAGATGTACAATGTGAAAAACAAGACTTTCAAAGCAAAATTCTCCAAAGAGGTGCTTAATTTATCTGCCTTTTGTTTTGCTTGGTAATAGGTTCAACTTCTTGGGACTGATGGCCTAGAGCAAGATGTTGGTGAGACTGAAGATGATGAATCTCCAGAACAGCGAGCCCGGAGACCAATGAATGCATTTCTCTTATTTTGCAAACGCCATCGCTCCCTTGTACGTCAGGAACACCCCAGGCTTGATAACCGAGGTGCTACCAAGATACTAGCTGATTGGTGGGCTGTTCTGGATCCTAAAGAAAAGCAGAAATACACAGACATGGCCAAGGAGGTAGGTCATAATGAGAAAGTTTTAGGGTGGCTTTGAGCAACCAGTCTTCTAACCCCCACTCCAGCTGATAGCTGGAGTATCAGCTAAGGTATATAAGCCTTAAAGTGAATTCTGAATTGATAAGTGAACATGAGAGTCAAGTTTCAAGTCCACCTTGCAAATATCGGTGGAGGCATCAAGAATAATTTGTTGCCAAGTTTTTTTCTAACTATATATATATATATATATATATATATATCCCCAGGATATTGAGAATGATTTTGTATGAAAGGTGATTTACTTATCATGAATAGTGGTTTTCTTTTTTTTTTTTAATTCAGGGATCTCGACTTGTGGTGTCAGAGGTAAAGATCACAATCTTAGGTTACTCTAGTTGTGTCATTGCACTGATCTGTCTCTAATGCCAAAAACTTTAAACCAGTACAGGAATGAATGATGGTGGAATAGGATGTGCTGTGATGTATACATGCATGTAAACACTGGATAGGCAGTAGTTGGTGAGAATCATTTCCGGGCAGGAAGGGTAGTCACAAAGGTGGGGTATTAATCAATTCCAAAACAATAGCAATGATTGGATTAAAAAAAATACTGTATACTGGTCTCTCTGTGCATTTATCTGAAATTCGTGTGAATTCATTGCAGGTCTAAAAGTATAGTTGAATAGGTTTAGCGAGCAAGGGAAAAGCACAACACTCTCATTGTGGTTAAACTTGAATAATTCTAACATTTCTTCAGCATTGCAACTGAACAATCTTGATATATGAAAACCCCTGCCATTCAAACATTTGAAGTTCTGTGAAAAGATGAACCAGCAGGGTGCAGAATATAGTTTCAAGTGACACATTTTATTAGACATCTCAGTATGTGGAAAAATAAATCTTTAAATTTCTGTGGTTTTATTGAGCTGTTAACAAGTTATCATGGAACATAAAATTTTCTGACATAATGTTCAGGAAAATTTAAATCCAGAGTAAATTAGCATAGTTGCTGTGTAATTAATGATCACATAACATTTCAGAAGTACACCTGAAATTAATATAATGTATGTTAATTATGTCATAAAAAAAAAAACTTCAGTTGTTGACTATTGTTAAGGCAGGATGCAGAAAATTAAAATTAGTTCCAGTAACCTACATGATTTTAAATGTTTCTGTAGATATGCAGTAGCATAACAGTAATTAACAGTAAAATTTCCCTGTGAAACATTCTTAGATCTTTTCATACTCATGCTTACATGGTAAGATAAACAATTATGTGAAACCTCACAGGGAACTGCATTTACTTACTATAATTAAACATTGGAACTTGTTTTTCTGTTGCTGTTTTTGAATAACATGCTGTCTGTCCTAGTATATTGTTTGCCTTTCTTAAAGACTGCTAATTTATAAACTCAATAGGTGGCCACTTTTAAGTAGGTAGTATTATTTTTATACAGGAAATCCCTCACTAATTAATTAGGTTTAAAATATTTGCCATTGCAGGCTTATAATGAAATCTCTTAGGGGCCCCCTGCAATCTACTGCAAGTGGATACCATAACTGGATCTTCCACTTACACATTGCTTTGTTTATAGTTGCTTTCATGAATTCTTTTATGGTGAAAATTGTGGGAAGTTCAGTTGCTTTCAAAATTATCATGCAGTGATTTCTAATCAAAACTGTTTTTCTACATCAAAATTTCATGAGATACTCATTGTTTTCAACCTATTTACTAATAGGTTTTGAAGTTACATTAAAGTGCAGTTAGTTGTGTTGGTGCTTTTTTGTGTTAATATTGCAACCTTAAATTAATTGGAGTGTCAGGGTAATCAACAAATATTTTTGAAGTCATGTCAGTGTAATGGGACCTGAGGTGGTTGCTAGTGATACATAGTCTTCTTTGTTCCTGAAAGTGCCATCCCCTACGAACTCTCCCTCCCAAACTTCCCAGGCATTTGTTGAAAGTTTTGTTCTATATGTCAACTTTGAATTTCAAATCTCCAATTCTAAAACTTCTCTACGAGGCACAAGACATACTCTCAGCATAGTGCATGTGATACTTGTGTGACTCACTAATATCTATCTGCCATTGTCAGTTGAGTGAGAAATAACCTTATTTTTTCTTTATTGTTTTTAAAAATAAAAAAACAAGTAAGTAGTAATTAATATAACTTAGGAAAATAATTTTTTTTTTTTCTGTAAAAACATTTTCCCTCACTCCCCTTTACTCCCGATTACCTTCTATGAGTACATCTGTTAAGAAGAAAACGCCATTTTGGATTTGTTTTTAGTTTCTTGATTTATTGCATGGTGCTAATTTGCACTGTTGAAAAAAAAAAAGATTGAATGAAGGTATAATGTTCTCTGATGAATCTCATTAAAGTAGTAATCAGTTTTAAATAATTAAAAAATACTATCCTAAGGAAATAGCCTGGGCACTTTTCTTCAATTCAGAGATGTTGCACAGTGGTACAATGTGGCTGTTCACAGATTATGATTTCTGTCACTTCCTCTTAGGTGTAGAAGTATTTCACTTTTCCTTTTAGCATCTTTGTGTATGTATGTACCCTTGAAGTTCAGGAACACCAGTCTACATTTAGAACCTTCCAATTTCCATTTAAGCGATCACAATTAATTACCTGACAGTTTAGAGGATCATCTGTCTTGACTTTCAGGTGTGCACAGTCAGGCAGTTAAGAGGAATGGAGGATCTGGAAAGGCAATATGGAATGACCTTTGCAAAACTCCACAGCCTCTCCCTTTGTGTGTCGAGTCAGAGGCATAAGGCAGAATGTACGCATTCATGGGCAGACTGGCTCATTGGGAACTTGATGTTTTCCATAAGCACCAACATGTAAACTCAGTATGATTGTACCCTTTTCAGAGCAGGGATCTCAACTAGCTATCTGTTTGAGGAGTTGGAATATTACCTGTTTGACACCAGCTCCCTTTTATTATATGCTGTTTACTTTAGATGCCTGAGTGACAAGTAGATTAATTATGGCAGAAATGGTAACAATAAAATGCCATGGGTCTTATTAGAGGAGTCTGCTTATGCTGGAGTGGAAATTAGGTGGGGTTTTTCCAGAAAATGTTTTATGAAGCTGATAGAATCTGGCCTTGAATTCAGTTATAAGATTCAGATAGAATGTCAAGGATAAGTGCAGATGTGGGAAAGTAAGAACAACTTCAGGAAGAAGAAATTTGGTTGTACCTAGAACCTACAATATGTAGGGAAGAGAAAAGGCAAAAATCATGAAAGACCTAGCAGAGAAGTTTGTAGGTTTGGGTGTGTGCAGATAAAACAGCCATGCAATTAAATGGAATTTGGAGATAAATGATAATAGTGTTTTGTAAATCTTGTTACCTGTTGTCATCAGTACTCATGGAAAGATCATTGCAAAACCCCAAGGAGTTTTTAGTGATTAATTCTATTTCCATTTTTCTTCAGGATAAAACTAACCTATATTTAGTTATTTACTTGCATTGGGATGCTTTCTGTGAAGACCATTCATTCCCTTGTATTGGTTTAATTAGAAATGGATTCTTCATCAAAGAAAATGTAATCTCATTTTCTCTCTTATAACTATGGGGAATTTTTGTTACTTGTCACATGTCAAGCTTTTAAAAGATAGAATCTGTATTCTTACTGCTAAACTTGAATGGCATCTCATTTATCTAGTATCCATGAGATATAGGTGTTGCACATCAGTGATTTCTAAATAGATAAAACTTTATATCACTGAGTTTTTTGTATGTCCTGAAATTTTACTTATTCTCTGATTTGAAATATTCAGAGTGCTTTGTGATTTTTTTTTTTAAATTTCAACCCACTCTTTCTAAACAAAAATGAAATGATTACCTGTAGTTTGGTGAGAACTTTATGAATAGTTGAGTCATAGTCAACACATAGTCACATTTTTTCTGAGTTTTAAATGACTCCTTACTATTTTGTCCATTTGAATTTCCTCTTCGGTTTTTTTTTTTTTTCCCTCTTAGGTCCACCCTTTGCTATCAGTTGATACCCTTCTGTCAGCCACAGTTGGGTGTGTCTATGAAAGGATTTACTCGTATGACTTACTTAATGGCCCTACCATTTTGGGGGCATGTGAGTAGTAAAACTGAAGATTTGGGCTTAATATTTTACATATTTCTTATTTCTGAGAACCTCTCCCATTGCTAGGTATCAGGGTAATTCTGAGTGTATTTGTAAAAATATTCAAGTGTTTTTTTTTTTTTT